GAGAATTTTCCGCCCAGGAAAAAGGCAAAATCTGGCCCCCGCTATGCAGCTGAATAGAAGATACAGCTGAAGATATCGTAAAGTAAAATTTATGGGCGCGATATCTTTTATTATTATTATTATTCTCAAAACTCAGGGGCACCCAACGATGATTTCCTCCTAAATGCATTGAAAACACATTTACGGCTGTCCAGAGTACTTTTGACCGAAAAATGCATTCTAAACAGCGCTTACATAAATTTAGTCAGGAGGGCTAAAAGCGAAGCTAATGATTTATAGTTTGCTCATACTAAATATAAAATATATCGTGTAATGCTAAGCGGAGAAGGCAACGAGACAGGGCCACCCAACGACTGTCTCCTCAAATACTTTCAATTGAAAACACTTTTGTAGCTATTCATAAAGTACTTTTAGCTCTATAGAAATGCATTCTAAGTGGCGCTATAAAACTTGCATCTCAGTGTTCGGCCATTCTAGAGGAACTTGAGTCTTTTCCAAATTACGAGGAATTCAGAATTATTTTCCCGAAAATTTTAGATGCAATTTAACGTATTACGAAGGAGATAATTTTTCAGATACCTTCTTTCATCACATTTACGAATCCGAAAATTTTAGGATTCCATTTTACTGTCTACGAAAAATAGCCTAACCCGGTGAGTGAAATGTGAAAAATTAAAAGTTGGATGCCCTTGACCAGAACTGTGAAAAACAACAATAGGTCTAATTGCAGCACACTTTCTTGTACATTTCCTTGCCGTTGATTTGCATGACTGCAACGTGAAACGTCCAGAAAACGTCCTGGTTTTCACTTTTTATGGAGAAAATGTGGTACATGTTCTTATTCACTTTTTCCACTGCTGCTCATTTTTTTTAGCTCCGCTATAAGATTCGTATCTGTTCGGTGCTCCTAGGGCAAATTGGATCTTTTTAAAAATTATAAGGGCTTCAATATTATTTTCCCGATTGATTGACCTAGAAGCAATAGTACCATCCCTCCCATAGCAAGTGCTGCATTGTTGCGCGAACGCGGTCGCTAAGCTTGAATATTCACGTCGCGTATTACACCTGGTCGTTTGCGGTCATATCAAAGCGTAAAGGTCAACAGTGGTTGTTGATGAGCGAGCAATTATTGTGCAGTTGCGATGGGTTTTGTGGAGCAAGCGAGCCAGAGGCAGGAGCACACGTTACCTGCAGATTAGCCGATGGTTATTTGGAGCGGATTCGTCGATTATTCTCGAATTTATAGCGCTTCGTGTGAAGGCGCGTGGAGATGGTCTGTTTGTTTTGTAGCCAGCCTTTAATTCTCCTATAGTGGATAGTACCTACAATTGCATAACTCAACAAAATGCCACTTAAACCGGCCAGGAAAGACAAGGATACGTTCAGTTAAAGGTATCTTAGCTTTATTTTGTTATATTTTAATTTTTGGACTATTTTGGTTCATTGGAGTTTCGACGAATCATCGCATTAATTTGTCCATGTGAATATTAATATATTCATTCAGTGACACATACTACGTCTGGGCCGCCTGTGGTTTGCCTGCTCGTCAAGATGGCGTCGAAACCGTGACAAAGTCTATTCGAAAATAATCGACGAATCCGCTCCAAATTGCCATCGGCTAATCTGCAGGTAACGTGTGCTCCTGCTTCTTGCTCGCTGGCTCTACAAAACCCATCGCAACTGCACAATAATCGCTCGCTCATCAACAAACACTGTTGATCTTTACGCTTCGATATGACCGCAAACTAAAACAACCCTACTTTGTGTACGAATCATTAATGTGTCAACGTCAGTTTGGCGGATGGAATTAAGTGTAGGCCGTTAAAAACGCGACGTGAATACAATATTCAAGCTTAGCGACCGCATCCGCGCAACAATACAACACTTGCTATAGGAGGGATGGTACTATTGCGTCACCGAACATATACGAATTTTATCGCGGAGCTAAAAAAAATGAGCTGCAGTGGAAAAAGTGAACAAGAACATGTGCCACATTTCCTCCTTTAAAAGTGAAAACCAGGAAGTTTTCTGGACGTTTCACTTTGCAGTCATGCAAATCAACGGCAAGGAAATGTACAAGAAAGTGTGCTGAAGTTCGACCTATTGTTGTTTTTCACAGTTCTGGTCAAGGGCATCTAACGACTGTTTTCTGTAAAATATCTTTTCGGAAAAGCAAATATTGCCTAGAATTTTCTTTCTGACTTGGCTAAAATTTTCTAGATGACCATTCCATTCATGTACGATTTCGAAGCTCATCTAATCTTGCTAATAAATTCCGTACGATTTTCACATCTCACTCCCCGGGTTAGGTTATTTTTCGTAGCGAGTAAAAAGGAATCCTACAATTTTCGGATTCAAAAATGTGATGAAAGAAGGAATCTGAAAAATTATCTCCTTCGTTATACGTTTTATACTACTACATGAGAAATTTCTGCAATTTTATTGGCTTAGAGCAGTGGTAATTCAGCTTAATTTGAAATACCTACGTGTAAAAATTACAAACCTTTTGCGGGTAGTAGTAGAAACAAATAATATCATGATTTGTATGTGATATTTGGCATAAATACCACTCGTGATATTTCGACTTGTCTCAAATTTTACTCGCCTAACGGCTCGTGAAATTACGTATAACAGTTTCGAAATATCACTTGTGGTATTTATGCCAAATATCACTACAAATCATGCTATTACCTACACAAATTTGCATCTAAAATTTTCGGGAACACTGAGATACAAATTTTATAGCGCCACCAGGAGCCGATTACTTGGAGCCTCCATACGTGCTGTACCCTTGAGTCAACCCGATAAAGAATTATTTTAAGAACAGGCTTTCCCGCGAAATTTTAATTTTAATTAATTGTTTTCGAGGACGTCCGCATATTTCTGTAGTGAGAAAAAAATGGCGACGAAAGAGGGAAATTGGCCAACAAGTTTACTCCTTGTTCCATCACCGTAGCTCCTGCCTCCGTTCCTTCCCTTACAACCGAGGAAAGCTGGTTTCGAGTTAATATAAATAATATGTAATCTGGCTCAAAAATATTGTTATATTTTGTTGCAACGCACGAGCACGAGGTCGTGTTTGCTGTTGTAGCACTATTCGGATGTTTAAATTTTGCTCGTAATGTTGTATTCCATCGCCCTTACTTAAAAGGAGCTTTTCAAATAATTAAAAAGTGAAACTCTTTGTTGGAGAGCCAGACTTTTTAAAAGGGAATTGGAGCGCTTACGTAAGGTCTGTATGGAACCGGCAAATCGGAGGCAATTTTGCGCCTTCCGCTGCCTTTGTAAGTAGAAACTGTCGTGACTTCTGTGTCTTATCTACCGCAACCTGGGACAGCGAAAATCAAGATCATGTTTTCTCATGATTTTGAAGGATTTCATTTAAAGAAGCAAAACGTCGAAGTGAAGAAAGGTATCGGTTTATGTTGTCCGGATTTTTATTCATTTTGATGGTGCTATATAAGTTATTATTTAGTTGCCACAAGACATGAAAGCTACAAAACCCCTTTGAGTGCACAATAGCTCACAATTATCCAACTCAGGAAGAAATTAAACACTGTTTGGCAATCACACTATTCTCAATATGCTACAAGATTTCATGGCCGCAGCATATACTTGTAGACCTCAAATAACCGCAAAAGAAATATAAAGGAGGAGGTGACATGCCGAAACATGTAACTTCCGCTGTGAAACCTTTGAGAACCTTTCTTTCATTCAAGGATTTTAATCTTTTGAAGTCGCTAGCCCCATCGGCTCTCTCCTTTTTTAATTTTATGACTGCCTGTTATTTTCCTTGTTTACATGTTACTTAGTTTCTTAGTAGCAAGAGAAAAATACCAGGCTCAGTAGATTCTGTATCGACAGTTGTTGTATTGTGTGAATGAAACCCTCAGTATGTTAGGTACACAACAGTAAATTTCGCTTTTAATTCGATTTCATTCCTGTTGAACGTCTCGTTTGTTTTGTTTGATATGTCCACTTGAAATATTTGCCGTTGAGATTGTATGTTATCAAAAGCCATTTTCATCCACAGCCACATTAATTTGGCTTATAAAAGTCCGTCCATAATTCGCGACCTCAGATCTCGCACAATTGCAGCCGCCTCGCAAGCGAAAGATGCAGTCCGTGTTCGATCTGTAACACAGTTGGAACAACATACTTTTTACTTCAAAATTAACTGTGGGATGATGCAGTGTGGTCCTTTGTGGAATTAGGAAAAAGCTCCAAAGCATTGCACAAGTGAGTTAACCAGTAAAGTAAAGTAACTAAAGAGCTTGATTTTTTAATATTTATTTATCCGCTGTCGAGTGCCGAGACTGGGTTGTTCGTGATAAAACTTATGATGTGCAGCCAACTGTCAAGATTACAAGTAAACTTGAAGACGTCGCATGAGTGTATCACCGTTTTCTTTTTGTTATTAGGCTTTGAGCGGGTATTTTTAAACCGATAGAAGATCAGGACTCTTCCACGCTGGCTACCGCCATTGTTGGCAGCAATTCAAATCCTGCTTCTGTGACTCAGCGTGTGACGTATGATCATAGCTCTGCTCTGATTGGATATTACTGAGAAGGCGTGAAAAATATTCCGCCAAAGCAATTTCTATAAATAATTTTTCGTCGGAAAGGGTCAAGGTCTTATATGGGAGATGGAGGCTCCGAGTAATCGGCTCCTGGTGCCACTTAGAATGCACTTCTATAGAGCTAAAAGTACTTTATGAATAGCTAAAAGGTGTGTTCAATGTATTTGAGGAAACAGTCGTCGGTTGCCCCTGTCTCGTTGCACGTTTTTGTAAGTGTAAACTTTGAAATTAATTTTAAAAAAACCGTTTGTATAATGAGCATTATCCGAGCATGTTAGTGACTTTTTTGGGGAGTCCGAGCATTTTAGTGGGAAAAATGAAGCATTAAGGTGGAGCATTTTAGTAGGGAAGCAAAAGCATAATGTACAAAAGGCTAATCGTATTGACGTTTTTTGCTAGCTGTTCCCTGTGTTTCCTGTAATTCCGCTTCGCCACTTTCCTCCAACGCGATGACCATATCCAATAGGTTTTCTAGTTCCGTTGGCTCATCGGGAGTTATCCCAGTTGCTTTTTCCTCCGCTAGAAGTTTCTTCTTATGCTTGTAAACAAGGATTCCCACGTGGTCTCCGACTGATCGCTTATCAGCCCTGAATTTCAGCACAGTGCATTTGTTCAAGGTGTCTGCTATTTTTTCCCACATACTGCTTCTCTGTGTTCTAATAATAATAATAATAATAATAATAATAACATGTTTAAACAGGATGACCATTTCAGTTATAAAAACTGCTATCAATATGGGTCCTGTGTTGACCCTTTCTTAGTTGTGTAGGGATTTACATTGACGACTTCTCTGCATAGAATGGCTTCATGATCATGTGTCCAAAACATTTAATACTGAACTAAGAGAAGCATAAAAACACACGCAGTTTAATAAAATTAAATTAAATAATACAGGCTTAAAATTGGCTTTTAGCGGCAGATGAACGCAATAAATCGAGAATTGCAACGGTACAAGAGACGAGAAGAGTATGCAGAAGACTCCTGCATTCACTATTTGCAGTTTTAGCTTGTGACTTACTTGTAAGCCTTGCTCGAAGTCGAAGTCGAAGGCGCTGCCATTTTATAAGCTTCGTACACCTGGAAGAAATTTAAAAATAATCAAAACCCTTCCCTCTCTGCGATCTAAAATGTCGCCAGAAATTACGTCCAATGATCCTAGAGTGCTGATTTTACATGTTTAGAGGAATATATCATCATTTAATTTAAGCACAGGAACAAATATACTCGCGTTTTGTGTAACCTGAGATCAGACGTTATTTTTTATTTTATTTTTTATTTTTGCTTCTTTGTTTCTTTGGCTCGAGAGGGGAAAAAAATAACGCCTGATACATTCATTTAACGAGCCGTTAACCGCTCCCTAATTTACATAATCTAACGTCTCCTTGACCTGTCATGTTATTAGCCAATAAGCGTTTACCAAACGGGAATCAATTTTGGCGCGAATAATGTCTCTTTTGAAATCAAAAAGAAAATTTTTAAGTACGTCCATGTTCAGATAGCGCCTCCAAAAAAAAATTTTAATGTGTTGTTTTTGTGATGAAATACTGCTAGGTGGAGCTGCCGTACTTTATTTAACAGCCACAAATAACAAAAAGTTTACTGGTTAAAGCTCGTTCACTTCGTTCTGTGCCGAAAGCAGTGAAAAAAAATTAGGTTGAAGCACGATATTTTTTCCAAATGAAAGGTGTTGTGAAAGCGAAGATCGCTTAGAATAATTCGCAGGTTTCTGAAGGAGGAATTACAGTCAAGCCAGGTCAAGATTCCATTCATGAATTGATTATTTGCAAACTGAACCCGTTTGTCGCTTCTGTAACTTGTAGCCGGTATCAAAATGCATTCAAATGATCCGTGAATTTTTGACTGCAACCTTTTAGTATACGATGAGATGGAAAAAATTTCAATGGATGAAATTTCTATTTAGGCACTCTTCAAATTCAAGAAAACTGAGCCGGCAGAAATTTTATAACACGAACTGGCGTGTGTATTCACTGCTCATTACGCAAGCAAAAATGCAGACTGAAATCAACAACAACTAACGGATGGCGGCATTTTGGCCAATTGGAACAGCGCAAACCATCCGTATTGTTTCCTATCCAATCAGAAAAAAGTCCAGACAAAGAAATGTATTATGCCCTCTTCCCGTGAGAGACTTAAAGGGATAATAGGGAGAGGGCATGATCTCAGGCTACGTTTTGTACAGCACGTCAAACTCCCAAAATCCACGTTCTCGACGCAACTCATTCTCGTCCCAAGAGCCACTCAACCACGTGACCAAGAAACGACGGGCTCTGGGGACGAGAATGGACGCGACGTGCTGACGTGCTGACACTTGCTGACACCAGGACGACGGCTTGAGCATGCGCAACATTTCTCCTCTTTGAAAATTTACTTCCTGTCGCGTCTTACAGCCGTCGAGGCTCGGATCTTAAAGTCACATTGTAGACCCAAAACTCAGACAAACTGAAATTAACATAGTGGTTGTCTGAACACTAGGCTGTTAAATAAGACTTAAGAGCCGCTAAGTTTTACTTAACCGAAAATTCATGTGTGAAGGCCTAAGTAAGATCTCAAGTAACTTTGCTTTGCATCTCATTAAAGTCGGAAAGTTGAAACGATTCAAGAAAGTTTCAAGCGACTTGAAAACCATCCTTATGACCGACTTAGCTGACTTGCGGTTTCTTGAGCTTTGAGAAAGAAGAGACATGTCAATCAATCTTAATTTTGTTGCGTGGGAAAATAACCGGAAGTAAAAAGAATCGGTCGTGTGTGAAGCTGTATTTTACTTAAAGTAATTAAAATCTACTTGTCTTGAAATATGTCGTACCTTATTTAGGCTCTACTGTAAAGACTACCAATGACTAATCTCAGACAAAAATTGCAAATTAGTCACTCCGACGTCATTCGCGCTCTACTCTAACTTATTTGCAAGTGGACTCAGTGGTGTGTGCCTTCTCTATCATTCAGTAACTTTCCTTACTGATTAGTATATAAGAATGACAAGGAATAGACTGGAGAATCAGTACGAAATTCCGGTTCCAAAGTTATTCACTTACTTTAGTATGAAGAACGTCCATTTATTTGCAGTTTTCGTCACCTTTGTGATCGTTTCGTTGTTCTTGTATTATTCAAGTCGTGGTGTATATTCTGAGTTTGATTCCGATAACTTTATTAATGTTGCTTTCCAGAATGCCCCGGCAACAAACTACTCCAAGCTTCGAAAGATTTTAATTTACACAGAGTTCTTTTACAGCGGTTTGCCTTGGCCGGGATTGACAACTACAGAAGATTTCACTCAGTTCAAAGGCCAGAAATGTTCAGTAACCAACTGTGAACTAACATACGACAAGAATGACTCCATTAGTAGCGACGTAGTAATATTTCACGCATATAATATGCCCTCTTCAAAAGAGATGCTTCGATTGCAACGTCAAAGGCCTCAACATCAAGTCTGGGTTTACTTCAACCTGGAAAACCCAATAGTTACATCATACATTGCACCTCATAAGCACCGCAGTGACTTGGACAATGTGTTTAACTGGACAATGACGTTTATGCGAGAGTCGGATATTTTCCATCCTTATGGATTTTATTTGCCGCTAACGAAGGGTGAACGTAGTTCAGTATCAAGTCAAAATCACGCCATTGGAAAGACGAAGCTTGCTGTATGGTTGGGAAGTGGTTGTGGCCAAGTTCTGGATGAAAGAAAAGTCAGAATGATGTACATACATAACCTGAGAAAGCTCATTCCCGTTGATATTTATGGGAATTGTGCGAAATATTTCCATCAAACAGTCCGAGACTGCCCGAAAACGGCGGACGATCATCCGGCCCCAGAATGTGCTTCTCTCTTGCAAGAATACAAGTTTATCCTGGCTTTCGAGAACATGAATTGCAAAGATTACATCACTGAGAAGTATTGGTGCAATCCCTTGGAACTGGGATTGGTCCCTGTAGTGATGGGGGGTTCAGATTATAAAGCCCTTGCTATACCAGGTTCTTATATAAACGTGTTTGATTTCTCGTCTCTGAAAGAATTAGCAGATTATCTGATGTTTCTCGACAAAAATGACGGAGAATATAATAAATATTTCGAGTGGAAGAAGCTTTATAAAGTTGGCGGCTGTTTGCGAGGCAACAACATGGAGAACCACTACCCCTGGATGTGTGAAATTTGCGCTGCTGCGAACAATGGATCGCTTTTACGTAAACCTAAGTTCTATAAAAAGGTTCAAAATTTTTATGACCCAGAAAAAAGATGCGGAATACAATATTCACGGCTGAAGGAAATCATTTCAGAAGCATTTGATAACTCTCAAAAACTAAGCAAGATCAAATCAAACACCATTTGATATTACCGCGGCAGAAACTGAGGAACTATAAAACTCAAGTTAAAGAGCTGGGCAGGAATGACGGTCTTTTTGGTCACATCTCTGAAATGGAAATCACAATATGCGGTAAGCGATCAAGCTTTTATACTGGTAACATCTTAGTTTGTGAGTGTGAGTCGGGTGTAGCGAGAAAAAAATTTCGAAAACGCTTTGTTGTTATGCTCACCGCTGTTTATCAAACAGGTGAGTCCAGCTGCTGGTTGATGTGAAAAGAAGTTTGTTCTGTATTTTTCATTTATTTGAATTTGTTTACGTCTTTTCACGAAGACATGCAGCGCGGCATGGAAATTGAAGGAATACCAATACAATATTCACCGCTAAAGGAAATCATATCAGAGGCATTTCAGGCATTTGATAACTCTCAAAAACTGCTTAAGATAACACAAGCAAGATCCAATCAAACAGCATTTGATATTACCGCGACAGAAGCATTTACTTAAATTGAGGAACTATAAAACTCAAGTTAAAGAGCTAGGCAGAAATGACAGTCGTATTGGTCACATCTCTGAAATGGAAATCACAATATGCGGTAGGCGATCACGTTTTACTGGTAACATTTTAGTTATGGGTGACATGTAAACGTTTTGTTATTGTGCTCACCGCCGTTTGTTAGACCAGCTGCTAGTTGATGTGAGAGGATATTTGTTCTGAAACAGGTTTTAAACTAACAGAACCAGGTGGGTTCCTGACAGATCTATTCATTTTTATGGCTGGGGCAACAAATGAATGATAAAGAATAAATTCATAGTTTAAAACTTCTATGACTTTTTGTTTATATCGGGTTTCTTTCCATTTAAGAATTTCCCTAAAAATAGCTTCTTGAGGAAGATGGCAAAGAATGTACAAAAGATAATGATTTTTTGATTTATTAATAGTGCATTTTTTGTGGTTGAATTAATTTTGTCCTTGTTGAAAATTTCATTTTCCATGTTTTGAGAGAACGGTAATCCGGTATGGTAATGAGTTTGAAACAAAGGAAAATATGGCTATGTTCACTCTATTCCCAGTACTCGCTCGCGTTACACTAGCCTTAAGTCTGACCAATTACAAGCGAGAGCTCTATTTCAGGCGAATGTATGAGTTTCTCCCTTGGGAGTGGCTTTCTGTGTATAATAAACACGAGTGCAAGCGAATTTTTCCAGGTTGGCTGCAAGGGTGGGAGGATTGGATTCAAGCGCCGTTGAATCCCCTTGTGGTAGAGGGGACTTGGGCTAGTCAACACCCGTTATTTTAAAGGAAATCATATCAGGAGTATTTGATAACTCTCATAAAACTGCTTAAGACAAGACAGCAAGTAAAGATAATGAAACCGAGTACTTGACTAACCGCGACAGAAGAACGTACTTAGACTGAGGAGCTATAAAACTCCAGTTAACAGGCTGGGCAGGAATGACTCTTGTTGGTCACATCTCTGAAATGGAATGACAAGAGGTGGTAACC